ACAACTTTATTATGAACTAATGAGAACAACACATTCACAGCTTACAAAAGGATCCTCCACAGCAATGTCTATTGTTGAAAAATTAGGGTTTTTTTTTTTTTTTTTTTTAAATAATACAGCAGTAAATATCTGGGTGCATTCTTGGTAAATTATTTTTTGTATGCATATCTCAAAATAATCGATTCAGTTGTAGTATATATGCAAATTTATAACAGGCACTGTACACCAGGCAATATTCAATACATTTTATATGATTTATTTCAGTTATTCATAAGCCATGAAGTAAATTTATTAGTGTATGAACTTGATGAACGTGTTGTAGATGTAACCAACCGTCTTATTAAATAAGAAACACAGAAACAATGTAAAAGAGAAAGCCGAGAAGTCAGAGCTCAGAGCTAAAATCTCACCCTTCCTCCTGCTGTCCCAGCTTCGCGAAAGAGACCTACTTCCTGTCGGTTCGTTTTTTTATAGTATGTTGTTCTGCCTTCTCATTGGTTGTACACCCAAACACATGACTGCCTCGTCACTGTCTGAATGTACAGCCCCCTAGGTCTTAAAGGCATATGTCTCCAATGCTGACTGTATCCCTGAACACACAGAGATCTTATGGGATTAAAGGCGTGTGCCACCACCGCCACACTCTTGCTATGGCTCTAATAGCTCTGACCCCCAGACAACTTTATTTATTAACATACAATCAAAATAATAATTCAGTACAATTAGATTACCACCACAACGTGTAGACAAAATAACTTGTGCAGTTTCATTCAGTAAGCAGGAGATGAAGATATAAAAAGAATTTGACACAAAATTCCACTCTACTACTGATTATTTATTGATTTTTATTAATAGTGAAGTTGAACACTAACCACATATAAAATATTTCTATTGGTTTTACTATTAAATTACCGATAAGAATTTACACATGTGTATATTTTTTTATGTGGTGCCATGATTAAAAAAACTTTCTCAGAGCATTTTCTGAGCCATGTAAATGAGGACACGAACGAGACTCATGTGTGTAGAAAGGTTCTCTGGGGGGTCAGACTGGAAAGGCCATTTCTGCAGAGTGGGGTGAGTTGGGTGGTAGAGAAAATCCAGTGGATTGGTGCATTTAGATGGCAGTCAGCAAGGTGGGGTCCTTGATCAGATGCTGTCTGTTCAGATTGACCTTGAACTTGAACCCTTGCCAGAGTCAGTGCCCTTTCGGGCAGATTAGGGGAGGTCCTGGTGAGCAGAGTCCTGTTGTAATAGAGATGCTTTTGTGGTAAAGAAACGAGCTTAAGGAATTCCTGGTGAATGCTGAATTTAGGCTTTGATTACCCAGGATCAGTCCTTCTGTGTACCTGGTCAGAGTCCCTCTGTTTAAAACATTGTCACCAGCACTGCCATTTTGGGACCCACTTTGAACCTAACATTCTCATTTAAAAGCTGTATATCCTTTTCTGACATAAATCCAAATTAGAAATGTGAAAAATTTAAACAATTGAAAAATTCAACTTTTTTCTATTATTCTTGCATATTATTATTTTGGGAGGTGGGGTATTAGGACCTTCCATTTCAGAGCTGAATTATTTTTAGTGGGGTATTAAAGTGCAAATATTACATTTGTGGTTTTATTGTGAATTGCTGCACTGTAGTAGTGCTTTCTATTTAGGACCACCTGCAAAGGATAACAACAGAGACTTCTTATTAATTGTGAAAACCTGTCCTTTAGCTTAGCCTTTTCCCCAGCCAGCTCTTATCACTTAATTAACCCATATTTTTTAATCTATGTTCTGCCACATGCCTTGGCTACCTCTCCTCTGTACTATATGTTCAACTTGGCGTCTCTCTATCTCTCTCCTTCTCAGAGTCCTTCCTGTCCCTGGAAGTCCTGCCTAACCTCTTCCTGCCTAGCTATAGGCCATTCAGCTCTTTATTAAACCAATTACAAGGCACCTTGGCAAAGACACATCTGTAGCTGGAGTTTTTTCCAGTCCCACTCAGACTCAAGTAAACACACAGAGACGTATATTACTTATAAACTGTATGGCCGTGGCAGGCTTCTTGCTATCTAGTTCTTATATCTTAAATTAACCCATTTCTATTAATCTATAAGTTGCCACGTGGATTGTAGCTTACCGGTACTTTACATCTTACTTCTCATGGTGGCGGCGGCTGGAAGCGTCTCCTGACTCAGCCTTCCACCTCCCAGAATTCTCTCTCCTTAGCCCACCTATACTATACTTACTGCCTGGCTACTGGCCAATCAACATTTTATTTATCAATCAATGAGAGCAACATGTTCACAGAAATCCACAGCACTTCCCCTTTTCTTTTTTCAAAAAAGGAAGGTTTTAACATTAACATAGTAAAATTAATAAAACAATTATCAAGCAAGAATTATAGTTATAATATCTATTCTATTTATATTTGGCAAATTTAAAGAAGTTATCCTATCTACCCTATATTTGTGAGTCTAAGGTTTCATATCTAACTTATCTTTTATCATAACTTAGGAAATTATAACTACCCAGTCTTTAACTACAACAAAGAACTTAGAAGGATATAATATTACCTGAGAAATGGGAAAAGGATGCAAGCAACTTTCGCGAGTCTTGCAAGAGTAAACAGAGACAGCTGGTAGCCTGGACAGTTATCCAAAGTTCTTCTGTATAGTTGGGGCATCTGTCTTCAGCCCACAGGACTAGAGTTTCTCAGTCACTTCTCTCTGTATCCTGTAGAATGTCTATCAGTTTCCTCTGTGAAACAGGAACCTGAAGGACCATTTTGCCAAGCAAAGTTCAGTGGTCACCTTCCTATGGGCCCTGCATGTCCAGTTGATCAAGCAGTCCAGGCACGAACAGTTTCTTGCCCAAATGGCTATTTTTGCCAAGAAGAAGATAAACTACATACAGAATGTCTTTGATGCCCATCCTCCTCTCTGAAGTAAATCAGTGCTGCCAGGAGCAGACATGTCTCACTTTCCAGAAAGTCTAAATTTTTAAAATATTTTAAATGCCATATTCTGTAGGTCTTTGAAGTATTTGAAGATTACCTACCTAATTGAATTATATCTATATATACCTAGAAAACTTAACATGACTATAAGTTTGACTATCATAGAAACTAATTATTAATTAGTTATTAATTATCCATTACAATTTAAATGAGTTATATAAACATAATACCTTAAACAAGAGTAGAAATATATATACAGTATAACAAAGTTAACTTTAAACTTTAAATTTGTATCAATAACTAAAATCTATAGCAATGTAAAACATTTTTAAACAAGTTGTTGCTCTTTAAAGTAGGTTCATTAATCTACTCTTTCACCCTATCATATCTACATTCTACACTTCTATACCATATCCCCCTTTCTTCATTTACAAAGAGATTGACTATGACCAATAACAGTTTGTAACCAACAACCTAAAGAAAGACAAACATCCATAATCTATTTTTTGGGAATGTGGGCATAGTTTTCTAGGCTACTACCTGCTGGTAGAGGGCACTGGTAGTCTTATGGGGATCCTGAGAAAATTAAGAATTATGATCAAGTCCTGACTGGAATAGTCTGTGAGGCTGCATTGTCTGAGCCAGTTGCCTTGAAACCATTCTGGATGTTGGATCATGTGGGCCATGGTGTCATCGGAGACCTTTCAGGGGGTCTTGGCTGGTCAAACCTGATGTATCTGAATCAGGAACAAATCCATAGCCTCTTGCTTCCTGTGGAAACAAAATTAGAGCCTCCTTTCCAAAGCAACATATCCTTACATCCAAATTTTGAAGTCAAGGTACCTTTAAAATATACATATTGGTTTAACTGAGCAGCCTTTACAATGAAATGTCTTTCTGCATTTAAAAATCCCAAAGACAACAAAATCCAGATTCTCTGTGTAATATCCATCTTTATGTAGTTAATTTTTATATTACTTTTCTTTCTCTTTAAAGACTTTATTTTTTAAAACTTTTCATTTCTTTATATAACTGTCTATATTCCTTTTTCTCTCTTTTCCAAGCCTATGTACATTTTTATACACATTGTAAACCATTTAAAGTCTTGTTCCATCTTAATCTGCCTTATTGTGAATCTATTGCTTTAAACTGCAGCATTACTAGGATTGAAATGGCAGTTTTGGCTGCTGGCTCCACCCACCTCAGCTTCCCAAAATGGCGTTGGCATGTTTACGTTTACCGCCAACTCTGGTTCTGAGAGCCGTGTGTACCACCAACTCTTTATTAACCAATCAGAGCAACACGTTCACAGCATACAGAAATCCACAGCACACATCTTCACAATGTAAACAAATATTCTGCAACATTGCATTACGTTTGAGGATATATCACATGACATGTTCATGTGCCCTGAAATGCAGCTGATGTTTTAGAGGCCTTTGAGAGATAATAAAGTTATCTCATTTCTGGAATTTTGCTTTAGCTTTGTCCATAATGTTTCCAGTATATATAAATATAAGTTGAATTAGTGTATATTTGATGATTATATCAATATAAAGTTGAAGGTCAGGAATAGTCATTATTTTCCCAAGTGTATCTAGATGTTGAATAAGTTTTTTTTTTTTTTTTAAAATTTATTTATTCATTATGTATACAGCATGTGTGATTGCAGGCCAGAAGAGGGCACCAGATCTCATTACAGATGGTTGTGAGCCACCATGTGGTTGCTGGGAATTGAACTCAGGACCTCTGGAAGAGCAGTCAGTGCTCTTAACCTCTGAGCCACCTCTCCAGCCCCGAATAAGTTTTTAAAATAATATCTTTTCTCAAGTTTATATTTTTATACTAAAAAATGAAGTAATGATAAATTTGTTTGCTAATACAGGACATGTGTTTTATTTATTATATGAGTGGTATATTTCAACAATTCTGGTCATTGAAAAAAATTTCTGAAGAATATTAGTCCTTCTAAATTATAAATGAAAACTGGCAGTTATTGTTTACCAAGACGTACAGTAATAGGAAAAGAACCAACTCCTTCTCTATTTCTCTACCTGGCTTGTGTATCCCATGCTCACCATCGCTTTTCACTGTTTCAGTTTGTAAGTCCCCGAGAGCTGAGTTGAGTCCCTTGTTGGCAGCTGGTGGCCGCGTCTTCTTCACTCTGTCTGTTCATCCATCCTCTATTTTTTTGGTTGGAGTATTCAGCTTTCACATCTGAGGTCCCTCTTTGGAGGCCAGGACTGTTGTTCCTCGTTTGTGGACTGTGCCTTAGCTCAGCGTTTCTCTCTCCCTTTGTGATTGAGGAGTTCCTGTGTTATGTGTCAACTCCCTTTCTCCTTCCTTTGTGACTTCACAGATTCTTCCTTTTTGATTACCATGAGTCTTAAAGAAACATCTCGCATTTATGGACATTTATTTTGGACCAACAATGACATTTATTGCATAAATTCTACATTTTATTCTCTCTCCCCATATTTATTTGTAGTATAGGTTGCATATTTTATATTGTATATTATTTGAAAAAAATCTTATGCCTGTACTTATTGAGTAATTTTAACCTTAATCTAAGTAAAAGTAGATTATATGTCACTATAAATTACAAGATTATTCTGAACTTGACTACACCTTTATCTTTAGCATTGGATTTTGTATTTTCATGTGTTTATGTAACAAACACTTCTTATCAATTTTGAACTTCTTTCACACTTATGAGGCAGCTGTAGTGTGAATGGTTTTGCCTCTCTTTTTCTGGAATAGTCTCTGTCATTTGTTCACTTATGAATGCTGCATCTTTCAGTAAACCGGTCTTGGTTGGATCTATTCTTTCCATATACCTAGTGTCTTCCCATTTCCTACCTCCAGCCCTGGTGCCAAGACGCAGGTTCTCCTGGATGTAGGCAGCAGTTTTTCTTGATGCAGTAAGATGTTTTCAGCTTCCCTGTGATATATCTTAGTGTAATACTTGGGGTATATTTCAAGAGAAAGCTTCTAGCTTCATGTCCCTGGATACCTGGATCAGGGAATTTTCAGTTACTTTCTGCTTAAATAAACTTTTTTTTAATAACTATTTTTATTTTATAATTAATTTAATTTTACATATCAGCCACAGATTCCCCTGTCCTCCCTTTTCCCACTCCCCAGCCTTCCCCCCAAATCATCCCCCATATTTATCCACTTTCCCTGTCCTCATGTGAATGCTAGTGTTCTTGAGAGTGTCCTATATTCTGTGTAGTTTTCTTTGTTTTAATTATTTTTTCTCCTCTAATTAAATATAATTATATCAAATATAATTAGTTTAAATATTAAGTGTGTATTATTTGATGTGGTCATATATGAGGTCACATAGTCTTTTTCTCTAGAATTTATATTCCTAATCATACAATGGGGGAGAAAGAAACATGGAGAAATCTTTTTTTCTTTTTCTCCAGACAGGGTTACTTTGTGTAGCTTTGCACCTTTCCTGGAACTGGCTTTGTAGAGCAGGCTGGCCTCGAACTCACAGAGATCCACCTGCCTCTGCCTTCCTAGTGCTGGGATTAAAGGCATTCACCACCACCACCCAGCTTAATGACTACTCGAAAGATTGATACTGTTTATTTTATTTGCAGGAGTGTCTACCTGAATGTATGTGTGCACACACCCTCTGCATGCCTAATGCCCAGAGCCCAGCAAAAAGCATCAGGTCCATGAAAGTGCAGTGGAAGGATGTTGTGAGCCATGCTTTCGGTTCTGGAGACCAATCCTGGGTCATCCACAAAATCCTAAGTACTCCTAACTGTCGGAACAACTCTCTAGCCCCATTCACCAGATAGATTTCTAATATTCCTAAAAAATGTCAATGTCAGAGAAAGTGAGAAAAGTATTAAAAACTGTCATGTACAAGAACCTTAAGGATGGATGATGATCTTAATCAATCAGGGAGGCTCACCCTGAATCAATATGATTATGACAGCCCCAGTCATTAACTAATCCTGTGCATGAGCACATTTCATTGTACAAATGAGGAAACTGAGCTGGAAGAAGCTAATTCTTTCAGATCACACTGGGAAGAGCTGAAGTTGGCTTTGATGACTTCAAAGCCAAGGCCCAAATGGTTGTGATGTGCCTCGCATAAAAACCATACATTGTGTGAAACATGGATGCCTAGTCGTATTTTTGACTGCCATGTATGTGGCAGGGGATGGAGAGATGACACTCAGGGGTTAAGAGCACTTACTGCTCTTTCAGAGGACCCAGGTTTGGTTCCCAGCACCAGCATGGTGGCTCATAACCATCTGTGCCTTCAGCTTCAGGGGATCTGTTGTCCTCTTCTGGCCCCCTATGGAATCAGACATGGAATGTAGAAACACATGCAGGCAAATACAAATACTTGTAAAATACAAAGAAATACCTTTTAAAGTGTGCACATGGCTGGGCTGGCTGCTGTTGATTGGCATCCCTATTCAGGGTGCCCCTAGCAGAACGGAGCGTGATGTCTGTGTTCTGTGACTGTCTGGTAGAGTCAACTTAAATATGCGTGCTCCATTTTGGGCACTCATTCTTCTGAAACTGGATGTCAAGAAATTAGAATTTCCCTTGGAATCTCTACCTGGGAGAGGAAGTGTTGAAGACCTTGGGAAATCCACAGGAGTAGCTCGTCTCCAGGAGAACGATTATGATTTGTCAATTGACCTTGCTGGAGAGACCTGGAGCCCAGACTGTGGTTGTTAGGGTTAGTTGTATAACACTCTTGCCTCTATGTTTCAAGACCCTGAGCATGGGATCAGGGCAAGTGTCACAGGCTCTCCTTGTCATTCTTACCAGTGTGGCCATATTGAATAAATCTCTCTGTTATATGTTTTTCACTTAAAAAAGAAGACAGGGTGATTAAGTGCCATAATGTAATTTGTATTTGGATGATATCCTAGGGCAGAAATCGGAAAATATTTAAAAATGAAACAAAAACAAAATACCAAAAAACATAGCACACTGCAGGACAGGCCTCATAGCCAGGAGTAGTTGACCAACACGAAATGTGCTCCTTTTGTGTGTGTGTGTGTGCTTTTTGTTTTGATATCTTTTGTCTTACTATTCTTTTGTTGTTGTTTTGCTTTGAGAGGGACAGATGACAACAAGAATGTGAGGTTGGAAGAGAGGGAGTTGGGAAGATCTAGGAGGCATTGGGCAAGAGGAAAGAATATGATAAAAAACAAAAAAAAATTAAATGAAAAATAGTGACTTAGAAATACTAATGGAATCCAATTAATATATTGATCTTGGTTATTACTAATCAATTTTGTTATTAATTATATAATTATTGCATTGATATATTGTATCAATGGAAAAGCTGTGACTTCTGAACTTGAACTTTAAAATTTCATCTTTGATTATAATGAGACCTAAATACTAACATGCCATTACTTTTATTTAACTCAGGAAAGGAAATATTCTATATATGGGCAAAACCAGCATGGGGGTACTTACTGTATGGTATGTTCTTTTGTGGCGTTTTGTTTCATCAGTATAGGCTTAACATTGTGCTGAGCACTGTGAACTAATTTTAAAATTAAACACTTTGTAGATTTGTTTTCTTTATATATTTAAATATATAATATTACTATTACAAGTATATAGTTACTATATGTAAATAAGTAATATATATTTATATAAAAATCTTTATATACATATTTAGATACACTTTAACTATAAAATATTTTACTCCTCCCAAATTAATTAAAAAGAAACATGATCTTGATATATATAAAGTTATTTATTTCAACATTTATAATCTTGCTGAAAAATTAAGTCTTAATTTTGGTTCAGCTTGACCTTTAGCTTACAGCTCTTTTTAGAATTTCCCTGTAGAAATTCTAAAGGTACTTCTCTAGGAATTACTGGAATTCTTTCATTGAACACATGTAAGTAAAAACTAGATTCTTTATGAGTTTCTAGGAATTACAGCTGAGCCCTACAGTGTCTCCCTTTGAATATTTTCTCTAGTGGTAACACAGGTAAACTGAGGTCTCAGAGTGATGTGGTTAACTGTTTGCAAAGCAGGAGGAACCGTCAGAACTATTGACTCTCCTTCGCTACACTGCTTATTGCCTGGGAGGCCTTGGATGGCCTCTGCATCTGTAAGTGAGGTACACATTACCTACCTCCCGAATAACTGAGTAGTGAAAGCTTTTAGTGCAATGCATGGGCAGTAGTGAGGCCTTCCTAAGTGTAGCTCTTTTTAGTCTGGGAGAGAAGCAGAGAGAGAAAACAGAAAGGTGGAGAACGGGTCCAGAATAGGCATTCAAGGAGTCTCAGAATAAAGCCTCCAAGAGAAAACAGAGTAAGGGACAAGAGGGGACAGTTTGTGGCAGATAGAGGATTAAGGATGTATGGTAGTTTTCAAAGCTGACAAAATGTCATTGAGAGAGAGAGAGAGAGAGAGACAGACAGACAGACAGACAGACACAAAGAGACAGAGACATAGCAGAGACCAAGTTCAATTTAGCAGATAGCTATGTGCACTTTAAGGGTTGGAATTCCAGTGAAAAATGATGGAGAAATACCAAAGACATGTAAACAAAGGCACGAAGAAGTGTGGAGAGAGGTACGGAGATGTCTTCAGGGCAATGCAAAGAAGCTTCTCAATTGGATAGAGTGACCAGGGTTAGGATGGAGGCTAAGACAGCAGCCAAGTTCATTAGACCAGGAGAAGTCAAGAGCTCCTCAGTGAGGAATTTCCAGTTCTAAATGTGATCAAAATGATTCAGTTTTATAAATAGCATTCAAATATTTATAATCAAAGTAATCTTTTTAATATTTATACCACATTGCCTGGGGTGTTATTTTTCATGCTTTATTCTAGAAAAATGATCTTGTTAGATGATCTGTTTTCTATTTTAGCATTTAAAAAAATATTTTATCAGTTATACACACTATCTAATCAATAAGCACTATGTTAATTAACAGCAAGAAGTCTATTCCTAGGGTAGATTATCATAGTTGATCTTAGCAAGTAATTAATTAAAAAAAACCTTTATTCTTATTTTTTAAAAGAAATAGTAATATATCATGTCAGGTTCTCAAAATTTCCTGCATGAGACATAGCCTGGTGCTTTTTAAGGTCTGGCTAGTTCTCTGACTTCCGTTATATAATACTGTTTTATGGCAGTGGTTTGAAATGCCATAATCCAAACAGCAATGTGAATCTGCCTCTGTTGCTTTCCGTTTGGTAGATGAACGTGACAACTTCAGACATCTATTTTACAGCATTCTCATCTCATCATCTCCAGCATCCTCTCAGAACTTAACTATGCATGGCAAGCTGACATTTTGCACAAGCACATCAATATG